GGGGGGGGGGCTTTGCGTAGAGATCTGCTACTAGGACATTGGCCACGCGGGAGCACGAGAAACCTTCTTTGAGTGGGTTTGCGCTACAAGCACGGGGTAGATCCCTGTCATAGCGCTGGGGAACCGGGTCCACGACTCGGTCGCAGAGACCTGTGGCCAATCTCATCCGATATGGGGCCTGTTCACGATAAGGGCGGATTCGTTGTGGCTTGGGCATATTTGTTAGCACTGCCCCTGATTGGCCCGTATCGCCTTGCGCGAAACTCTCCATCGCGGCCAACCATCCCGTCCTCTTCTCCCCGTTTCCCCCTTCTCCCCTTCCCTCCCGGTTCCAAACCCTAATCAAGATTTCCACGGTCCAGGCACTAACCACAAAGCCTCGTGGGGCCCTGCAGCCAAAAACGGTCGCCCGAGCGAAAATAACCAAGTAAGGAAACCCGGCACAGCCTAAAACATCCCGTGTCAGATCCTAGCATCCCCTACGAGTCCCTGTTCTCCTTTCTCAATGCCGTTAACCTCCAACTCGGACGGTCGGCCTCTCCTGCCCCAAATTTCGACTCGTTTGTCAAGGACGCATACTCCCGACGTCTCTGGGCCTTTTCACCAACGGAATCTTTAGTAAGTGGCTTGGACAAATAGGTCCTGGAGAGCCACTGGGGGTTCCATATTGCCCGTCGCCGTGGACTTTGCTCCGATCTAGGAGTGTTGGCTCAGATCGGCTTGGTATTGTTGTCCAACCAGGCCTTAGGGATCCTCTCCCCGGTGAGCCGACCGAACAGAAGTTGCAACACTTCTACGGGCAGTCCAATCTCATGTTGATGAATGCAGACCCAGTTTTTCTGTAGATCTTTCGAGTTGGGGAAGTCCTGATCTTCTTCAAGCATCTGCATCTCGGCCTCGACGTCTGGGTTAAAGCCTTCGGGCAGATCCCCCTGAGCCCGAAATATCCATCGTTCCCGGTCCACTTGTGCCAGCGTGTTGTCTTTATAGCAACCCTGCGGCTTTCCCATCATGCCAAGGGCTGTGGACCCAAGATTGATCTGGTAATGACTTGCATAGCTCTTGGAGAAGCCAACCGAGCCCTGAAATCCGTAGCACACTGCGCAGGCGTTCGCGAACATCCTCATCAAGTCCATACGGGTTCACACCACGGAGCGATGCGGGCAATATCTAATATTTCTCTTAAGCTCCTTGTGCAGCCAGCCACGGGAATGAAGCCTCCTCCGAGTCGAAGAAGGGCGTCGCCGGCGTTTCCTCTTCCGGGAGATAAGAGACCACCATATATTCGCTCAAGCGAAGCATCTGGAGGGAGACCCTTTGGGCGATTGTCGAGCTCGTCGCCGCTCCTGCCCCCGCAATAGGTTGCGAGGCCGCTTCTGGGGACAAGCTATGATCTGTCACATCCTCCGGGTGCCTCTGCCGTTTGTGATTGTTCGAAGCACAACTTCCTAGTAGGTGGCTTGCCTGAGCTCCGGCGACAGTTAGGGAACGGACAGCACCACGGCGGCCACGGCGGCTTAGTGCCTGGCCAGGTGTATCCCGTGAATTTCTTTCCGGTGTCTAGTAAGCGTGTACAAGGAGATGAAGCCGAGCGTGTGTTCGTAGCTGGCCTCAAGACACTTGTATCGTTTCCCTTTCCCATGTTCCGGCCGGCAGCGAGGAGGCCATGTCCTCTGCCATAATGGCCGTGCGCAATGTCCTTTGATTCGCCATGGTGGGTGATGTTGTAATCGCAGAGGGGAGGAAAGAGGGTGGGGAGTGGGAGCGAGAAGCCTTTTCAGTGTTCGAGCACTCCCTCTCCTCTCACAATTGGGCCCACGCAAAGAATTTGTAATACGGAGTACCACAATATAGCCTCGCTTTAGTCGGGAAATTTGCCTCATCGCCTTGGGTGAGACGATCTCCGCCTTTCAACTCTGGAGGTCCAGCTTCTGTGTACCTCGCCAATTTGGGCGTTTTACGCCGCCCCGCTCGACAGAATTGTGGTCCATATGGCTTTGGTTTAGAGCTTTAGATAATTACTTTCTGGCCACCCTTTTACGGCCTCTCCCTACAATTTATTTTTGTATATTACCTACTGCTCCCCTCGGTGAGTCAAAAATAGACCAGTGAGAAGAGTGAATGAGACAGCTGAGGAGAATGATAGAGGAACTAATGATGGGTAGGGAGGGAGACGGATCTCTAAGGGAAGGCTCGGGAGCAGGAGAGAGAGAGGCCGTGCAGGACGAAGTAGGATCGCCCGGGCTCGCAGAGGCACTCGGCCGACCGTAGGAAGTTTCGCCGAACGATAATAATGATTGGGAGGCGTGCGGCACCGATACTGCAGGGGACAGCGCCACCACTCGCATCCTGTGGTCGTCGATTAGCCCTGTGAACTCTGCCTACGGCGGTTCCTGGATGTTTCTTGCTCATGGCTCGGGTGGGAGCAGGGGTTCTGGAAAGTTGTTTCCCGCTCAAGTGTTTTCTCTATATTGTCTCAAACCCTACCATCAGTTCTCGTTAGACATCGCGCAGACGCTTGCCGCCGGACAAGATCAAGACATAGAAGCTCAAGAGACTACATTGGATCAAACTTTCAACGAATCGGACCTAGAGGGAACAAAGATACCTCCCTACTCAGCCAGAATTCCCGCAAATGGATAGAAACATCGGCATAGGTTATGCGTCTCTCCTCTCTTGAGCAAATCTTTATCGACAATATTGAGTACCATCCAACAGCCACGGGGTTCCCACGCTACCTGAGCTCTTTCACCGCCAAAAAAGGCCACGAGCCTGCGACCACTGGGCAGAAATGGAGGATTCAGCTCTCAAGAGTCCCTCTTGAAGTCCAAGAGATACCATATGATACGAGAACCGTCTCCCAGCACCGGAGACCAGGTTCGAAAGGGAAACAAAAGAGAACACGGAATAATCTACTGTATGAGCCAAGAGAAAAACAAATTCAATACAATGCATCAGAAGTCAGCATCTCTTTATCTGGGGGACCAAGTGGTGTTGTCCGGACAGCACTTGAGCGAGATGATGAGTAGGTCCAATCCGTTCGTGCCTAGTCTCAGGCAGTGCCTGTTCGTTGATAAGTAATAAGTAGGTTCTGACAGGGGCGGAGTGGATACCATTTAGCCCAATCCCGAAGCTCAATCACTTGAGCCATAGAAGCGGTGTTTTTGTTGAGTTCCGTCTGCGTACTGTCTAGTTTGGATCTCCCACCTTCACGTTACGAGCGA